TTCTTGGAGAAGGAAGTCTTTGCCAGAAGACCTCTCCTGAGGACTGCTCCATATGGGCCACTTGTGTCTGTAGGAAGACCCGTGAGCTGTGTTCTGAAGCAAAGTCAAACCTTATCAAGTCAGACTGGAATGCTGGGGGACGGCTCAGGGACACAGTCATCCTGCAGACGCCAGGGCAGTCTGCCCCTTGGGGGTTGTAATGCTGAGGCCTGACGTGTGACACCACAGGACAGAGTGAATGCAACTAGGGCTGAGGTTTCTTGAGCCTTATTTTGTACCGGTCCACGTAGAAGGATCCCTCAATACCCACAAAGGCTTTGGGAGTAAAGGCGGAGTAGCAGTAGATACCCTCTTGCAAGCCACAGAGAGCTGGGTCAATAGTCATCTCTAGTAATTGCCGAAGTTAATAGGTGAAATCTATCTACCTGCACTTTTGGCTTGTGTAGCCAATCTTCAGACCAGAATAAGTTATTTAGTTTTTATTTAACTAATCACCAAGCATCCTTTGGGGAAGGCCTGATACTGAGGGGGGTGCTGGGCCAGTCACTGGGGGTCAGCCCGGTATCAGGACTCCTAGGCCAGGGCTACTTAGCTAGAAGCAGGCTCCACCTAGGAGAAGGCCCTGGGAAAGAACAAAGGACCACCTATAAAAAGGGAACCAATCTGATCTGCGTGGATCCCGTAACAAGACCAAGATGACCCTAGCCACGCAGCAGACTCTGTCTCAGAGGTGTTCCTAACAAACTGCCTTCTGAGAAGGTGCTGGTGGTGGGTGTCAGAGCAGGGGTTGGAGGACCCCCTGTTGAGACACTCAGAGGGGCTTTTTGTCTTGGTTAGGATACTGAAGTAACATTTGTAAACACTTCAGAACAGTGCCTGGCACAGAGTAAACGCGGTAAGGCTGCCTGTGAAGTAAAGGAGTCTGTTCTTAGAAGCCTGTGGTCAGCTGTTGAGGCTGGGAGATCTCCGGCCATGCCTCCTTCTACCTCAAGGCAGATGCACCATCAGGCCGGCCCAGGACCCCCTGCTCGCTGTACCCGGCAGCTGCCAGCCTGTGGCTCCGGAGGCAGGTGAAGGAGGGTCCCAGCCCCTGGGGCCCCACAGGGCAGTTCTCTGGGAGAAGGCAGAGAGAGGGAGTTCCGTGAAGGAGGCCTCAGCAAAGCTCCCTCCCCATGTGTTTCCTCTTCCCACCACTCTCTCTCTCCTTTTCTTACACTAGAGTCCAGTGTGTCCCAGAGCTAAAGGTTGTCTGCTTTCAGCTCCTCAGCCTGCCCAGGTTGGGTTTCTAGAAGTTTCCTCCACACTGGTCTCTGACTCCTGTTGCCCTATTCAGCCCCTCCCCATGAGTTTCCTGTTGCTCCCAAGACCCTCACATCTCCCAGTTCTGCTGTGTTTGGGGTTCCTCTGGGGCTGGTCAGCCTCAGTGATGTTCCTGCAAGTGGGGGCAGCTGGGTGCCCAGCTACTGCGACTGTCTTTGTTCTAATAAACACAAGTTCATGAAGCTCTTTAGCTCTGCACTCAATTTAAGAGTCTGCAGCCTAGGGGCCAATGCTCTATACTGTTTACAGCCCTATAAAACGGTTCCCTCTGTGAAAGATCACAGGAATAGCCAATCTGTGTGTGTGTGGGGGGGGGGGGCAGCAGGAGGCCAGGTGTGCCCTGTTTCCTGGCTCCACGTTTCACAGCAGGGACCCATGGAAGTCTTAGCAGGAGCCAAATTGCATCTTTTTGACATTGTTGCCTGAGCTGGGAAGTTCTGAGCAAGCTAGGAAGTTTTAAAGCTTGGGAGAATCCAGGCCTGGTGAGTAACACTGCTCAGCCGTGGATGTAGCAGTCAGGACTGGGAGGGCAGGCTTGCCTCACATACCTCAGTAGGAAAGAATCTGATGGAGAACCAGAGATGGGAAAAGGATCTTAAAAGTCCATTACCAACAGCATGAGACAGGTCATATCCACAAACTCTAGAGCAAGGGTTGCAAGCAGCACTTGGACACTTTTACTTCATAGAGCCTGTGCCCCTCAGAGATGACTGGCAAAGATCCGGCATCTGAGGGAGAGACATGGCCCACTCCTCTGGGCCCACAGACATACCTTGGCTGACCTGGTGACGGCCCCGATCTCCGAGTACAGATCGGAGCTGTCTGGGAAGTTTTCCACCACCATGGTGCACACGTGGTGGAGAAGCGACTGCTTGTGCACGGTGTCCTTGACTTCTGGAACCTTCTCGAGGTAGCTTAACTCAAACGCTTTGGCCTATTTGGTGAACATTAAATAAAAGACAAGGAGCACAAGTTTGACACAGGCTCTTCGAAAGGCACAAATGGTTGGAATCAATGTCCTGTTGGAGTAGCCTAATATTTAGTTCCTCTGTGACTGGAGCCACATGCTCCATTATCCTTAGCTGATCACACATAGACCAGCCATACTGAACATGAAATGAGCCTCTAGCCCTTTCCCAGACATGAGCTACCCCAGGCCTCTATGCCTAAATCAGAGTGCTGGGAGGCTGGGTCTCTGGCATCTGGGTATCTCAACTTTCTTTCTCTCTTTGCCCTCTACTTTGCTGCTTTCTGACCAAAGATAGGCCATTTTTTAAAAAAGTTTGTTTTATAATGTATATAAGTACAAACATTCAAGCAATAAGTTCGGGAAAAAAAATGGGGGAGGAGGACAAAAGAAACTCTCTCCGATGTCATTTCGAGAGTAGCAATTTTTTTTTCTAAGTTTTCCTATTTGTACAGCAAGATACAGGCTCAAATAAATAGGCCCTGATAAGTTTAGGACAAAATTCCTTCTAGATTTTCCAGCAATACAAAAGTTAACTTGTTCATCTGTGCTTTGGAGGACCAGAGGTACAACCTCCCTCAGCAAATGAAAGGCAGGAACTTTGTGACAAGGGAGGTAGGAGAATAAGGAATATAAAAGACTTACATTAGTTCCATTTAGAAAGTTCCCAATGGCTAAAAGAGTAGACAGGATAAAGCCCAAGGTTTTATTGTTCTCCAGTTGATCTATTCCTTCCTTCAGATCCAAAAGTGGTTCTGCCACTTCCTTTCAATTAAAAAAAGTTGGAAGGTGATGATAAAGAATGGACATTTTGGCTTTACTTTGGTTTTGTTTTTTTAACTTTTGTACAAAGTAACCACAGCGGAGTTCTGGGTATAAGGCAATCCCATGTTATGAGCACATGCTCTTAAGTATGGAAGTGCCAACGGGGAGCAGGGAAGTCTAGTCCCCAAAGTCTCCCCAGTGGAGACCAAATGGGTACCTGTGGCTACTTGTGCTGGGGTGACAAATGCTCCATCTTCCGCTGTTCCTGCCCATCTGCCAAGCTCAGGCAGGACCCTTAGACCACACTCCCCTCTCATTCTCCCTTCTGACGATGGTTAACTTCTAGGACCCTCTTCCTTTGCATGTTCCTTCAGCATCTTCCACAGTCTTCCTCTCACCTTTCTCCTTCTAGGCAGATGGCACCAGAAACTGTCCCTCACTGTCCCCTGACCCCTCAGGTCTCCTAACCTCCCCTCTAGGACTCTATGGCTGGTCACTTCTTAGCCTGGGCTACTTTCTAGAAGGCTACCATCCTCACTACTGCCACTCCCTTCCAAACACCCACTCTCAGACTTCCACACTGGTTTTGAGACCATGTCATGCCAAGTCGTCTCAGTCCTATATCTCTTCATCCCTGCTTGATTCCTGAATGAATCCAAACACCACGGGTTCCCTCCTGAAGCCCCTATGCTCACTGCCACCTATTTTGTCCTCAGCATGAGACCTTGCTGCCTCCTTTGTCAGAGGATGGAGACCACACAGCCTCTCTTCCTATGCTTTCAGTCTACCTCCTTTGGGCATTTCCTCTCAATTACGCTCATTCCAGCTCACCTTCCATCTCTTTCCTCTCTACTGGTTCCTTCTACTCAGCCTGTAAATTTCCCCAGTCCAGAGGACACCTGCTCCTTCTGCTTCCTACCCGGATGAGTCTCCCCATGCCTTCACTGGTAAGGCTCTTTCCTTCTGTTCTCCTCCAAACCTCTTGCACTGTTTCATTCTCAACTTCCTACAGAGATACTCTCTCAAAGTGACCCGATGCTGGCTAATCGCCACAGTCAATGACAGTTGAGGTGATTATTATCAGGTGGAAGGATTACAGGTCACTTTCTATATGGGCATTTCTACGTTTTCTAAATTTTCTACACTGACTATATAGAGTCAAACATTGTTTATTTTTTTTTAAGCAGTCATCTGATGCCCTCAAGCAAATGTCTGAGGCTGGTGCCAGGCAGACATTGGAGAATAATGCCTCACCGGCCAGCTGCCAATCCCTTAGTGTAGACACAACCTCATAATTAACTTGCCTTTCAAACCCTCACTTAAGAATGATAGCTCACTGCCTTCACAAATGAAAAACTGACTTTCTCAACACTGGGGATGAGGACTGGCTGCCTCCCTTCCTAAATGCATACCTTTTCTGTCGTTTCATAGTCCATTTTGAATGCCCAGAGGTGAAGCCGAGCGGAGAGCTCGCTGATGGAGGAGAGGGTGAGGAGGAACTGCTCAGCACTGCCCAGTGGCACATCGGGATTGGCCAGCTGTGCTTCTTGGATTTTCTGCTTCTCCTCTTCGGTGGGAATCATGGTTAGGATTTTCTGGAAAGATGGAACGATATCGTATATTCTTAGTGATGGACCCTCTCCCAGCCCTTTGACATTTCCAAAATCATACTGTAATTTTCCAATCAGGTAGTAAAGAGATTCTGTCATCAATGTTCATATCACTTATAAGTGGTACATCATTATAAACCAAATACTGTAGAGAAGAAGAGCCCCAGGTAGGGTCAAAATTCACATTCATTTGTTCTAAAATGATCTCTCTCTCTCTCCTTTAACCTCCTATTCCATAAGGAATTTAAACAACTTGCCCTAAATTTTCTGGGTCTTGTATATGAAGGACATTCTAGACAAGAAAGGGGGGGATGGGAGGTGAGAGAATGGTGAAAGAATAAGATGGAAGGTTAGAGAACAGCTCCCTGCTCCCTAGGAAAGAGGAAAATTTGTCAAGACAGTATGAGAACTCAGACTGGCTTTTGTACATGGAGCATACTAATATTTAAACTGTATTTCACATTTTATGTAGAAATGAAAACACTTGAAATAATACCAAACTCAAGTCTGGTTGGAGAAAAATGATGATGGTATTTGCAAAACAGCAAAACCCACCTACTAATGAAAAAAATATCTTATGCTTCTATTTGTTTCTGGTTAAAATTAACAATGGAAGGCAGAGGTGGTAAAAAGTCATTGGAAGGATGATGATTCCTATAGGTTCAAACTCCTTAGTGATTATGAGAAGTATTTTAAAAGAAGGTAAAAATTCCCGTTATGTAACATTTCACAAGCAACATTATTAAAGGTAAGGGGTCATTATTTTTCTCTCATTTCTCCTTCTCTAGCGTTGTGCCACACTTTTTGGTAACTTCTATTCATTCATTAATTCTAAATGGCTTTGGTTGCTGCTCTCCAGTAGCAAGTATCTGGATAGAAGTGGATGGAGCCCTGCTTCTGGGTAAGATAGAGTAGACATACTCTACCCCATCTCACTGAATGCAAGTATACACCCTGGTCCGCATGAATGGAGCAGATATTTGAAGACTCTAAAAAGTATACAGTGGCAGGTGGACTAGGGAAGAAGATCAGAATTGGAAGTTCAACTCAACTGCAATGAGTTGACTCTTTGTCCTCTGGCATTCCCCAGCTTGAGCTCACATAGCCTCAGACCTGGAAGAGGGCATCAGGTACAGACAGACAGAACTCCAGGGAAATCCTCTAGTGCCCAATTATGGAGTGGGAAAGGGTTTCTTAGTAGTGACACTAGCGGCAGCAGAGGTTGAAAAGACACCTAAAGCTCGGAGGGAGGAAACCTTCCTTTCCAATCAAAGAGGCTGTGGTCCCAAAGGGTGGGACTAAGGGAGTAGACAGGATAAAGACCAAGGTTTTATTGTTCTCCAGTTGGTCTGTTCCATCCTTAAGGTCCCAAAGTGGCTCTGCCACTTCCTTTCAATTAAAAAAAGAATCAAAATAAGATAATAAAGAATGTCCATTTTGGGGGGTGTCTATGTATCTCAAGTCGGTTAAGGGTCCGACTCTTGATTTTGGCTCAGATTATGATCTCATGGTCTGTGGGATTGAGCCCTGCATCAGGCTCTGTGTTGATGGTGTGGAGTCTGCTTGCGATTCTCTCTCTCCCTCTCTCTCTACCCCTCTCCCGCTCGTGCATGCTCATGCGCGCTCGTGTGCATGCTCTCTCGATATAAATAAATTAACTTAAAAAAATGTACATTTTGGCTTTACATTGTTCTTTTTAATTTTTGTACAAGGTAAATAACAGGTGCAGTTCTCCTCGGTATAAGGCAGTCCCATGTGATGAGCACATGTCCCTAGGCACGTGTTGTCTTCCCTCTGCTTGACCCCACACACCGGCACAGAAAGTGCATGGCAAAGTGAGGTAACCGAGCCCCACCTTTCAGCTGGAGAACCAGAAAGGTAAGCCCCCAGGGAACTAGAAAGTACTAGGGAGGTAAGGGAAAAATGAAGAGCCTGGCAAAGCAGGTACAAAAAATATGGTTTAAGAACCTCTGGGGTGATCCCTGAGCTGTTTATGTATGAATCTGACCTTAAACAATGTATCAGAGGCTGTGAAAGCTGATACTGGAATCACAGTCCAAAAAAAGCAGGTCAGAGCCTGTGGCCTGAACCCAAGCAACTGGGGGAATAATTTTCTTTTTTTTCCCCCCAAACCAGAATTACCCCAATACAAAAACTAGACAAAGATACTACAATAAAACCACAGACAAACATCCCTGAAGAACTTAGATGCACAAATCCTTAACAAAACTATTTTTAAATATACTAATGTCAATATACTAAGACATATAAACATTGCTGTATTTTATGAAGTAATATGTTAAAAACAAGAACCACAAGGCTGATTCAGTACAAAAAAACCAAAAACAATCAATGAAAGTAATCGACCAGATCAATGGTCTGAACAAGAAAATTCACATAATAACATCAATTGATGCAGAAACAGTTTTGATAAAATTCAATATACATCCCTAACAAAAACCTCTCAGCAGCCTGGCAATAGAAGGAATCTCCTCCATCTGATAAGTGACATTTGTAAAACACCTACAGCTCATATCATACTTGATGGTGACAGACTGAATACTTACCCTCTAAGAGAGACATACAGACAAGAAAGGAAAAAGCAAAACTATTCCTACCACACAAAGTACTTGCCTATATAGAAAATTGGGAGGAACCTACAAAAATGTATGAAACAGTGAGTTTAACAATGTTGTATGATTTAAGGTTAATACATAAAAATTCATGTCATTTCTCTATTAACAGTAAACAATTACAAATGGAAAATTTAAAAAAAAATACCATTTATAATGAAAGACTTAGGTATAAATCTAACAAATCATGTACAGGATCTGTATGCTAGAAAGTAAAAATGCTGATGAAAGTAATCAAAGACAATCTAATATAAATGGGGAATACCATGTTCACGGAAAGACTCAATATAGTCAAGATATTAACTTTCCCAAAACTGATCTATAACTCTAACGCAATTCCAATAAAAATACCAGCATGGGGGCGCCTGGGTGGCGCAGTCGGTTAAGCGGCCGACTTCAGCCAGGTCACGATCTCGCGGTCCGTGAGTTCGAGCCCCGCGTCGGGCTCTGGGCTGATGGCTCAGAGCCTGGAGCCTGTTTCCGATTCTGTGTCTCCCTCTCTCTCTGCCCCTCCCCCGCTCACACTCTGTCTCTCTGTCTCTCAAAAATAAATAAACATTAAAAAAAAAAAAATACCAGCATGAATTTTTTGTGGATATAGACAAGCTGGTTCTAAAAGTTATGTGGCAAGACAGATGAACCAAACAACAAAAACAATTTTGAAAACAGGTAAGGTCTCCCATACAGGTATAGGAATAAAACAATGTGGCATGGACAACAGGACAAACACATGGGTCAGTGGGAAAATACAGGGAATCCAGAAAGAGAGGATACAAATATAGCCCAGTGATTTTGACCAAGGTACAAAAGCAGCTCAATAGAGAAAAGATAGTATTTTCAACAAATGGTGCTGGAACTGGAATCCATGTGCAAAAAATGTTACATATAAATTAACTCAAAAGGTTCACAGATCTAAAAGTCAAAGGTAACACTACAAAACTTCTAAGAGGAAGCACAGAAGAGGGGTGCCTCGGTGGCTCAGTTGGTTAAGTATCTGACTTCAGCTCAGGTCACGATCTCATTGTTCATGAGTTTGAGCCCTTCGTCAGGCTCTGTGCTGACGGCTCAGAACCTGGAGCCTGCTTTGGATTCTTTGGAGTCTCCCTCTCTCTCTGTCCCTCCCCGCTTGCACTCTGTCTCTCTTTCTCTCAAAAATAAACATTAAAAACTTTTTTTCATTAAAAGAGGAAACCTAGAAGAACATGTTTGCGACCCGTATTAGGCCACAAACTCTTAGACACAACACCAAAAGAGACTAGGGTTGAGAAACTGAACTTTATCCTAATTGAAACTTTTTTATCTGTGAAAGACACTGAAAAGAAAGACAAATTATAGTTCCTCAAAAGGTTATGATTTATCATGTTACCCAGCAATTCCATTTGGAGGTATTTACCCTAGAAAAATGAAAACTGAAGTTCACATAAAAACCTGTATGTGACTATCTGTAGCAGTCTTATTCACACCTGCCGAAAACCAGACCAGGCTACATAATCCTTCAACAGACGCACAGACAAACCGTGGCACATCCCTGCAATGCTACGGTGCTCAGCAATAAAAAGGGACCAGCTATAGATACATACCACAACTTGGATGAATCTCAAAAGTGCCCATCATGCTGAGTGAAAGAAGTCAGTCTTACAAGGCTATACTGCATGGTTCCAAAAAGAATTTTTTGTCTTTCTCAAAAAGACAAAACCATAGTCATGGCAAGAGATCAGTGGTTTCCAGGGGGCTACAGGTAGGTGAAGGGCTTGACTAGAAAGAGCTAGCATAAGACCTTTTCTGGGACATAGGACTGTTGTGAATCCTGACTGCCATGGTCACTGCTCATGAACTTATAGATTTTACAACTCACAGAACTAACTGGACACCAAAACAGGTCAGTTTTCCTCTATAGTAACACACACACACAAATTAAAAATAAAATTAAAAACTGGACAAGACAGCACAATCCACAAACAAGCAGATGAGCGCACGATGTATCCGAGTGCGGTGGCTGGCATCCTGGGTCTGATGAGAGAGTCCTCAGGATGGTCATCTCTGGAGTTTCTTAGAAGGTAGAGAGGCCAAACTACACTCAGCTGTGTCTTCTGTGCATTAGTCGCAGTGAGGATGCAGAAGGGAGCCTAGAAGCCTCCTCTTCCAATATTCCCTTCATTGTGGCCCCAACACAGACTGAGTGGGTGGAACGTAGGCATCAGGGCACTTATTCAGCAACAATGCTCTTTGCTCTCACCCGTCTACACAGGTGGTTTAAAAAAAAAAATAACCCAAACAATGCAGGCAGATGTCACTGCTTTAAAAACATTTAGGATCTGGGGCGCCTGGGTGGTGCAGCCGGTTAAGCGTCCG